AAAATCTCCAGGTATTTCCCAACCTGGAGCTGGCAACCCTACGCACACAAGAAGGAAGTGGCCACGCACTATGGCCTTGATGTTGTCCACAACATCACTGGTTGGGTCCCCTGCTATGTAACTGTATCAACTGACAACTAGTGATGACCATCCCACATAAGACCCAGAACTTTCAGGATGACCCTTTATCTTTATCCCCACTTTGCTGCCAGCAAGCCTGTATTACCATCCTTCATTCTCCTGAATAAACCCTTCAATGTTTATGACTGGAACGATCCTCTCTTCTGTCTCAGTTGGCGTCATCATGCCTCTCTGGTCCTTCGGTCTTTTGTAGTAGAGGCTGTGCATCTGAAAATGTACACCAGGGGGTGGGGCACAGGGAGTCAGTGCTCCCCAAATATGTTAGGGCAGGGCAGCTGGAGACCTGCATGCTAGACAGCAGAATGTGGAAAGGGAGATAGACACTCTTTGGGGGCTAAAACCACTCTTCAATTACACCGTTGGCTGCTGTCAGACTCCTCACAGCATCAACGAAGTACACACTTGCAGAAAGGTTATACTTTATTTGAAGCCATAGGTGCATAGACAGGATCACTGTTCAGAATGAGGGGGGAGCAATGAGCAGGGTATGTTATAGTACATTCAAACCACTGAGGCCCAATTGCGGGGGTTCCCGCGCGCGCCATCGGGCCTGGGAGCAAACGCTTCTAGGCAGCACACGTTATCTCTTTCTCACGGAGTTTCGTGAGATCCTCCAAGCAACTAACAAGCAGCGGCAACCACCTGTGGCCTTGAGAGATATAGACGTTTCGGCAGCAAAGCAATTAAGCGCATCAACAGGTCTACATATGAAAGTGAAAGCATTCAAGCGCACACAGAAAGAATAAAATAAAACATTGGCAGCTTGCTGACAGTTGCATGGATGAGCATTCAATTTCAGGCTGAAGTCAAGGCCAGGGCGTGTCATTCCGCTGCCACATGGGGGTTAGTCTCTAGGTCCTTTCTGCACTTGGATCTCATCCCTGATTTTATCAGAGTTCGACTCACTATACCTTGTATTTGTCCCTGGTTATAACAGCATCCATTTATCCCAGGACAAGTGTGGGGCAAAACTGGGGTGACCTCAGTGTAATGTCGAAACAAAACAAAAAAAATATTCCAAGATAATTACAGGGGTGAACTCAAGCATAGTGTAGAATGTAAAAATACCCCGAGATAATTACAGGGGTGAACTCAAATGTAGTGTAGAATGTAAGTTCTGGGACAGGGTTGAACCAGGATTTAAGGTCTAGTGCGGAATCACCCCATCATGTCTAGGTTACTCCAGTGCCACTTGTTTTCCCATGCTGATAAATTGGGGCCAAAAGGGGTTTCCAAATATCTCAGCCTCAGGTTCTGCACAGGAACAGTTTGTCATGCCATAAGCACTGATTCACGGTGCAAGGTGTGTTGTCCTTTCGTGTGCTGCAAAACCAGGTGTTGTCAAGTTCCATTGTTGAGTTCAGTGGAAGAGAGGCAGGCAGAAGAACCCCTCTCTCGCTGGCATGCGTGGGTCTTAGATGAGCTTAATTTTGGCTGGATCCTGCCCAAATGGCTGAACAACCCAACCCAACCCAGGCTGACTCAAATGCAATTCTGGTTAAGTCCCCTTAATTCTAACCATATTTACTAGAAAGTCAGTCTGCACACAAGCTGATACAAAGAGAGAAGAAGAAGAAGAAGAAGAAGAAGAAGAAGAAGAAGAAGAAGAAGAAGAAGGAGGAGGAGGAGGAGGAGGAGGAGAA